GGCCCCCCAAACTCCCCGTTTGTCCGTCCCTTACCCGCACGGAGAGTTGGTGTCCGGGGGGAAACGTTGCACCGTGACGGGGTAAACGCTGAGTGCGTTGGCGGGGGGGACGGCTGGCGTACAAACGTCCCCGCCAAATGCGCTGTCACGGCTCCGCGCGCGGTTGCTGTGTCGCTGATGCAGGGGTGTCATTTGCCTGCCGGGTGAGCAGAGAGAGGCGTTTCAGGGCGCGCGACTTGTTACTCTGTGATCAACTCTATCTTTTGCGTGGAAGAAGTAATCGTGTTCCGAGGACTACTCGTCTTCACAAAGGCCCATTCGTTTTGTAAGCGACTGTTTTCCACATAACTATTGCTATTGCCGTTGCTGTTATTATTATTTATTACTACAACTGTAGCTTCTGGAAGCTACAGTTAGAAATCAGGATCCTATTTATGGCGAGTGATGGAGCAAACTACCAAAGAAGATAATGACACCCCAGAGCTGGATGTGCAAAGTAAGTAGCAGGGCACAGGTACGGGTACGTCATCAAAAGCTGCCTCTGTCTTCAGCTCTGTCCAGGAAAAAGTCAAAGAGTGAAGGAGGGAATGACCCAGCACGACATGGGTTTTGCCTGCGACCGTTCTTCCAGTGGTAGCTTGAAAATCATGGAATCAAACAGTAAAGCCTTTTGCAGGTTTCAGACTAAAATTTTTGCGGGTTTAGGATGAAAATGAGATGGGAGATTGAGGGGTGTGAGATGTGTGGGGTCCAGCGGCATCCCTTGGTGGTGGAGATTGTGAGCGCTGAGCATCTCCCCTGGTCTGGTGTCGACAGCACGACCTTGTGTCCATCCGGATTGATAACTGGAACCAAGTCTTGAGCAGGAGGGTAGGGTAGCAAAGCCCTGCTTTGTTGTCCCTCTCAAGAGCACTACCACCCACCCAAGCTGCTTCTTTCAGCATCACCTGCTCTGCTTTAACTGACAGTGATGTTAGCTTTTAATCTGACCTTGCAATGGTTATGAGGTGCGTTCCACCACTTTATTCTGCTATGCTTGGCGTACGCTTTTTCTCCCCCACTACAGCAGGGTTATTCTGATGGGTGGTCTACCTAATTCCAGCTAGCATGTACCTTAATCGTGATCTGTCCCCCTCCCTCCACCTTCCCATCACCTTTGAAATCAAGGGAAGTGGTGACGTTACAAAAGCGAGGGACTGACTGAACCGTGCCAGCCGACAGACATGGGATGACATTGTGCCCTTGGGAGGACCTGCTTGTATGAAGAACTGGCTAAATGGCCGAGCCCAGAGAGTGGTGGTGAATGGAGTTTAATCCAGCTGGCGGCTGGTCACGGGTGGTGTTCCCCAGGGCTCAGTTTTGGGTCCGGTCTTGTTTAACATCTTTATCAATGATCTGGATGAGGGGATTGAGTGCTCCCTCAGTAAGATGACACCAAGATGGGTGGGAATGTCGATCTGCTCGAGGGTAGGAAGGCTCTGCACAGGGATCTGGACAGGCTGGATCAATGTGCTGAGGCCAACTGTATGAGGTTCAAGAAAGCCAAATGCCGGGTCCTGCACCTGGGTCACAACAACCCCATGCAGCGCTACAGGCTTGGGGAGGAGTGGCTGGAAAGCTGCTCGGCAGAAAAGGACCTGGCGGTGCTGGTTGACAGCAGGCTGAACGGGAGCCAGCAGTGTGCCCAGGTGGCCAAGAAGGCCAACGGCATCCTGGCTTGTATCAGGAATAGTGTGGCCAGCAGTAGCAGGGAGGTGATCGTGCCCCTGCACTCAGCACTGGTGAGGCCGCACCTCGAGTACTGTGTTCATTTTTGGCCCCCTCACTACAAGAAGGACATTGAGCTGCTGGAGCATGTCCAGAGACGGGCAACAAAGCTGATGAGGGGTCCGGAGAACAAGTCTTACAAGGAGTGACTGAGGGATCTGGGGCTGTTTAGTCCACAGACGAGGCGGCTGCAG